CTGCCGTGTCCCCACCGTGTCCCCGCCGTGTCCCCGCCCCCGAGGCACCCACCTGAGAAGGCCGCGGGGGGCCGGCCGGTGCCCCCCCGGCCGGGCCGGGCCGCGTCCCGCAGCGCCAGGGAGCCACGAGCGTCTGCGGAGGGGAGGGGGCTGAGGCGCCCCGCGCGGGGACACACATGGGGACACCCCTGGGGGGGCCCGGGCTGCACCCCGCGAAGGGCGAGTGGATCTGCAGGGCCCCTCCATGCTCCTGTCCTGTCCTTGCGCCCAGCACCTTCAAAGCCCCAAACCCACCCGTGACCCCGTGTCAAGACCCCCCCTCTCCATGGCCAGGAGCCAAATTTGCCCCCCAGAGCACCCAGTGCTGTGAGCCAGGACCCTCAAAGCCCTGGGGGGGCCCGGGCTGCACCCCGCGAAGGGCGAGTGGATCTGCAGGGCCCCTCCATGCTCCTGTCCTGTCCTTGCGCCCAGCACCTTCAAAGCCCCAAACCCACCCGTGACCCCGTGTCAAGACCCCCCCTCTCCATGGCCAGGAGCCAAATTTGCCCCCCAGAGCACCCAGTGCTGTGAGCCAGGACCCTCAAAGCCACCCAAGACCCCGAGCCAGATCCTCCCAAACGACCAACATCCTGAGCCACGTCTCCCCAAACCCACCCAGGACCCCCCAAGTCCTCAGGACCATGACCAGGTCTCCCTGGACCCCCCACCCAGCAAGACTCCCCAGCTCAGCTCAGAGCCTAGGGGAGGTGGCAGGGGACATGTTCCCTTCGCAGCAGGACAAGGGTGTCTGGGGCAACGTCCCGCCCGCACTACCACCACACCCAGGCACTGCCACTGCCACCGCCGGAGGGGACAGCCAGCGCGACCATAAGCGGGGCCAGATGTGGGGCACAGGGCCAGCGCACAGCAGGGAGGAGGAGGAGGGCAGAGGGAAAGCACGAACTGAGAAGAAGGAGGAAGGGCCTCCCCTTCGCAGCTGCCACCCAGCTGGCCCCAGGGCCCCTGGGCATGTGGCAGCTGCCATCCCGTGGTGACCGAGCCCCAGGCCCCCCAGCCCTCCGCACCACCCCACAGTCCCCACAAGTGTCCCCGTGTGGCAGGGCCATCTGCTGGGAACGTCCCCCTTCCCGGGGGCAAGGCCACCCCCCCGCCAGCACAGCCAGTTAGGCCTGTGACGTGGCCCAGTGCCCGCTCTGCTTGTCACTCGCGGGCAGGCACAGCCGCATGTGGGCACAGCCACCCGGCCGCTGCCCACCCACTCAGCCACGCACATGGGAGCAGCCACCCACGCGGTCCCTGGTCCACAGGCACAGCCATCCGTCCCACCATCCCTCCTTTTATCCACTCACCGACTCATTTACCCCTCCATGCATCCAGGAACATTCTATATCCATCCAACCACCCATCCATCCACATGGGGATCCATCTGTCCATCTTTGCCCCCACACATTCATGGGTGCCCAGTCCACAGAACCTGCCAGTGCCCCTACCATGTTCTGCATGCACATCCATGAGCAGCATCCATCCACCCATCCATGGGTGCACAGCACCCAACACTTGCTTGCTCTCCTGCCCCATGCTGCCTGGCCCTGCGGCAGTGGCGGTGACTGGAGGGACACGCTCTTGGAGGGCCACCAGCGGGTCCACCGCTGGATCCTACCTTCCTCGCAGCTGGGGCCGGCGTCGCCGGGGCAGCACTTCCAATGCAGCGCCGTGGCGGTCTTTGACGCAACGCGT